CTACTGTGGGCGGTGAAGGTGAGAGGCAGCATGTGTGCTTGGATTTGCCTTCCCCCCAGCAGGTGATGTCTGAGTGTTTGTTCAGCACCAAGATGCTGTGTGACAGCGTCTACTTCACAGTGCGACTCAGGAGGCTTCAGTGAGACAGAGTTCAGGGTGTGGGGTGAGTGGTTTGTGTTGTTGCCTAGTCTTTGCTCTCTGTAATTCCACAGTGCACAGGGGCTCCCATGCCCTTTTCTTTTCTTTTTTAATATTTATTTGGGTGCACTGGGTCTTAGTTGTGGCACGCGGGATCTTTTTTAGTTGTGGCACGTGGGATCTAGTTACCTGACCAGGGATTGAACCCGTGCCCCCTGCATTGGGAACACGGAGTCTTAACCACTGGACCACCAGGGGAGTCCCCTCCATGCCCTTTTCAGTCAGGGAAAGTCCCACGCCCCGAGCTGCATCCCCCTTCGGTCACCACCGTGTTGGTGTGGAAAGGGGGACTCGGAGGTGCTGTCTCTTGTAACGAGGTGTTGAGAGGGTGGGCTCTGGATTAGATGGGGAGGTTGACTCCCTCCCCGCCACTTACAGCTGCATTGCCTTGGCCAAGAGATTTCACCTCTCTGAGCCTCAGTTTCCTCATCTACAAAATGGGGATACTTATAGCATCCACATAGGGTTGTGGTGAGGATTGCATGAGATGCCTGTAAAGTTCCGAATACAGTGTCTGGCACACAGTAGGCACTCAATCACTGTTACTGTTATCATCACCATAATTGTCCCTTCCTTCCACCTTCTCTGCACTTCTCTGCACTGTTCGGACGTCTCAGCAATCCAGCCCTCCCGGTGCTCTGTCCACTCCCCACACTTGCGTCCCTGACTCAGCAGCCAAGTTCTCCACTGGAGCCCCAGAATTCCTGACCCTAGGCCTTTGCATAGGCCAGTCTCTCCTCCACAAGGCACAACTAAATAGCCTCCTCCTCCCTGAAGCCTTCCCTGACCCCTTCCCATTGGAAGCAGGCGGCCCTCCTGGAGCCCAGGGCATGTCGCCCCACCTCTCTTGGCACATGTGGCCCTTCTGCCTCCTTAGACTATCAGCACCCCCTTCTGTTTGCCTCTGGGGGCCCCTGCGGTGCTCAACATGGCCCTGGTACTTTGGAGCAGGAAACATAAGCCAATTCTGGGGTCACTGAGATGATAATAAGCACAGCCCGCATCCTTGGGGCTCCCAGCTGGGTCAGGGGATGAGAGAGGGGGGCAGGGTGGGTGCAGTCCAGACTGCAGGCTGGGGGTGCTGGGGAAGGGAGACAGTTGAGCCCCCGCTATGAGTCCGAATGGCTGAGAAGGGGCCACAGGGCTGGGGGCTTTGGAAGGCACCATCAGGCCATGCAAAGAGTGAGCCGGGCAGACTCTGGGAACCAAGGTTTTTCTAGAACCTTCAGGGCTGGGACTAGAGACTCTGGAACACCTCACCCTAAGGGAAACGGGGCTGAGTCGACACTCACGGTTCTCCTTGTAGACTGAACCTGTTGGAGAGAAGACAGAATCTGGTTAGAAAGTGATTTGGGCCCCTGCACAGGGTGGAGGCTGGGGGCTGGGGAGTGGGAAGAAGGGAATTCAGGGAGGTGTTGGCCTGGCCAGGCGCAGTCCCTGTCCTGTGGCAGGGGTTGAAATGAGTTGAAAGTCCCATCTGGTCTGGAAGTCCTCCCTAATTTGCCACTGTCACCACTTCTCTCTCTCACGCGCAAACACACACACACACACGCACATACACACAAAGCGTGTACACGTGCACACAGATGTATGCACATACTCTTACACACGTGCATAGACACACGTGTGCGTGCACGCGCGCGCACACACACACACACACACACACACACACAGAGGACTCTCTCATGGTTAAAAAGAAGCAGACCTCTGTTGTGAGGGGCACTGGACTTGGAGCCTGACCGTGTGTGACCACGTGTGAGTTTTCTCCTCTGGGGCTCTGTTGTGAGGCCCACTGGACTTGGAGCCTGACCGTGTGTGACCACGTGTGAGTTTTCTCCTCTGGGGCTCGGCCGCCTCGCCTGCGCAGTGGGGGCCATCGCACCCACTCTCGCCGGCTGTGGCGAAGAGCCAGTGAGAGGCGCCGAGAGCCCTGGCCCCCGGGGAGGACAGGATGGTGTGGCTGTCACTTTTCGGGCCCGGAGCATCCCTTCCCGACTCCCGCAGCTCTGAACATCTGAACAGGTTTCACGTCTTAGCTGTGCTGCGTCCCGCTTATTTCTGCGGTTCTACGTCCAGTGTCCCTCCAACTGAGTGCTAAGTCCTAGAGGACAGGGCCCCCAGGGGACACAGAAATGCCGGCGGGGAGCAGGGGAACGCTCCTTTCTGGGGGACACCCACACTGACACACTTTCCGTTTGGTCCTTGAGAAGCTGTCCCCCTACCCTTGCCTCCAGTGCCCGAGGGGTATCACGTGTCCCAGGCTGGGCCAGTTATAGCGTTACATTCGTCTGGAGATGGAGCCCTTCTAGGGGTTGATATGTGGCCCTGGGGGAGAGAGAAGCATCTTTCAGCTGTGCTTCAAGGTGAACATCCAGAGAGCTGGTAGCCACCATGCCTGCCTGGGAGAGAAAGCTGCCCATGGAATGAGGTTAAATAGCAAGGAGCAGAGCCCAGGGACACAGAGACAGGCTCTGGGGCCTTTGTCGGGGCCCCTAGATCCAGCCACACCTAAAGTCTGACGCCATGGGCTTCCCAATGATCTGACTCAAAAGACATCCCATTTTGTTTAAACTGCTTACAGTTGGGTTTGTCACTCCCGTCTGAAAGAACCCTGCCCAATTTATTAGGTAAATCAGAAATTCCTTAATCACCTGATTTGTGTGCCATGGACCCCTTTGGTGATTTGGAAAAGCCTATGAACTCCCCTTAGAGTAAATTTATTCCCGCTTCTCTTGAGACACTCAGCACTTCCTACTCTACCAGACGGCAAGTTATTAAATGCATAAAATAAAATAGATTGGATTAAAAAGGAAACCAACTATGTATCAAGATAATAATAAAAACATTAGAAAATGTTGTGCTATAGTAATATATGTGCTTCCATATTAATGCATTAAATCATCAGGTCGGGTGCATGCAACCAGGTCAGGAATGTTTGAAGTAAATGAAGGTTCCCCTTTCCGTGCCTGAGCACACTAGTGGTTTTGGATGGCTGGCTTTCCCACTGGTTACATTTCCTGCCACTGTAGGCATTTTGCAAGACTCGGGTCATGTTAATGCACTTCCATTTTTGTATATTCTATATAGTAAGTCCCCTACACATGAATGAGTTCCATTCCGAGAACACGTTCCTAAGTCCAATCTGTTCGTACGTCCAACAAAGTTAGCCCAGGTACCCAACACAATCGGCTATATAGTACTGTACTGTAATGGGTTTATAATACTTTTCACTCAAATAATACATAAAAAACAAACACAAAAAATAAAACATTTTTAGTCTTACAGTACAGTACCTTGAAAAGTACAGTAGTACAGTACACCAGCTGGCATACAGGTGCTGGCATGGAGTGAACAGGCAAGAAGAGTTACTGACTGGAGGAGGGAGAGGAGGTGGGAGATGGTCGAGCTGAAGGATTGTCAGCAATAGGAGATGGAAGGCAAGCTGCATGTGACAATGTACGCCAGACATGTGAACTAACTCACGTGACTGGAGCTGGGGCCACGTGTTCCTCATTCTGGGGTCTTTGGGACCTAACACAGAACAGTTGCTTGATGATCGTTGTGGGGAGTGTTGATTTGTCAAACCCCAGGAGGTTGAGTTCTGAGAGGGAAACATCTGGGGGCTCCTTTCAATTACTCCCCTCTCCCACCCCAAGCTGAGGCTCTCTTCTCTAGAGCTTACTCCTGAGCTCCGCTCCTGTTCTGAGCCTCCTGTGCTTATCTGGCACATCTGCTCCAAGTCCAGCAGCACAGCCAAGTCAATCTCTAGTCTGTAAAAGTAGGGCCTAAGATATGTATCCATATAAATCATCCTGACCTGGGTGTGGGCCATGCTCGACAAGAAGCACATGAGGTAAGGGCCCTCTGAGATTCCACTGTGGGGAGTTTGTGTTAAAGGCAGGGTGATTGGCTTCTCACTGCTGTGAAGCCATGAGCTGGTCTGGGCCACTAGAGGTTATTATGTTTGATTATGTTGATGGAGGTGGTTCTTGGTCTTTAAGGAGGACGAATCCAGAGGTAGAAATTCCTTCCCTTTCTCTCCTTCCTTTGAAAGGATTTGGATCTGGGAGAGCTGTGTTCTCATTCCTGTTCTGACATCTACAAGGGACATTTGGGCAAGTTTCTCAATTTCCCTGAGCTTCTCTTTTTCTCGGACCACACATAAAATCACATGAGGTCATGCATGAGTCCACTCCACAAACATACCATGAATCACCCCCTAGGTCATTTGTGCAGATTAAATGAGACCATGCATGTAGAGCAGCTAGTATCCATCACCCATCATCCATCCATCCACCCATCATCCATCTAGCCATCCACCAATCCATCCCTCTTGCTTTCACTTATCAAATGTTTCCTGAGCATCTGCTCTGAGGTGCTAGAGAGATGGATGTACACAAGGCAAAATTCTGGCCTTCAGGAAGCTCACATTCTATGGGATGGGGATGGGCAACAACCAAGTAAACAAATAAACAAACAACCTAATGATGGATGATAATGATGTTCTGAAGGGAATAGGCTGACATGAAAGACTCTGAACTAAGAAAAGCGGGTGCAAGTATAGCTGGGGTGGTAACGGAAGGCCTCTCTGAGGCGGTCACATGTGAGCAGAGGCTTGAAGGCTGAGAAGGGGCTGGCCACAGGGGGTCTGAATGAATAAGGTTCCAGGCTGCGGGAACAGCAAGTACGGGTGGAAGGCACTCAAGGCCCGGGCAATTTTCTCCCTCCCGTCTTTTATTCTTCCCTCTGTCCTTCCTTCTTGGGTCACATTTCCAAAATGGCCCTTGACGCAGGCACACGTTCTGGCCAGGGCCTTGGGACACTTCTCTGGCCCCCATGGGCTCCCAGCCTTCCTGACAGCCTGGGGGTTCCTCTTATCCCACCCCGAACGCCTCGGGTCCCAAGGGCAGTCCTCACCTTGCCACGGCTGGCCACCTCCTGGGTCACCCAGGGATGGAATAGATCCTGGGCCTCTAGCCCTGGTCCATAGGCCTTGCCTCAGTAGCAAGCTCCTCTCACCCAGGTGGATGGTTTTCACGTTGAAGTGATATAGCTGCGGACGAAGACCCATGTGGTGACCAGGCCAAAAATGAGGACCAGGAGGTGAAGCAGACCTGCAGAGCGAGGAGATGCTGCCGTGAGACCACAGCACCAGACCACATTGCAAGGCCAGGCAGCGAGACTACATGGGGGTCCTTCCCAAATCCCCTCAGTGAGACCACATCCTGTAGGTCCGGACCTTGCCCACACTGTGGACCAGTCCACGGCCTGCATGGCGGGGCTAGTGTGAGCCTACGTGATGACCATGCTGCAAGGTTACATGGCAGTGTTCCCCAAAGTAGGGCCGCTGGGAGGGAGGGTTAGAAGTGCACCTTCCTGGATTCCACTTAGCGCTCCACAGAGCATCTCTGGGGTGAGGCCTGGGAATCAGCATGCTGAGGGGAGGCCCGAGAACTGTGGCAGGAGGGCGGGAGGCAGGTGAGCCCCGGCATGGGAGGCAGGAGGTCTCAGGGCGGCCACCTGCCACTGTGTGACCGCGGGCAGGGGTTCAGCACCTCTGAGCTGGAGTTCCTCAGTCACAGAGTAGACGGGGTGATGCCCTTGCTGCTGAGCCCATGGCTTGTTGGGAAGGATGTTACAGTTGTCACCACTAGGCAGCCTCCAGGGTGGCTTGGGGGGGTGGGGTTGGTCTCCTGTATTTGCCGTCCACTCCCCCTGAAAGCCACCACAAATAGCACACAGTGCTCTCTGTAGGAACACACACCAGCCTAGCTGACGCGGCCTCCCCTGCCTCACAGCCATATTGCTGCCCGTGCCCCCATGCATCACTGGGGAGCAACTCCACACACATGATGGACCACCGGAGCCCCCGGCTGCTCTCCCTTTCCTCACTCTTCCGGCAAGGCTGTACCACACCTCCCGCCTCAAGGACTCTGGTGGTCCCACAGCCTTGGGAGTCAAATGTAACCATCAGGCCAAGTTCCCTTGCTCCTTGCCTGACCTCCCTCTCCATCTATGGCCATACCACCCTCAACACGCCGGACTTCGTGTGACCTCCCTCTCTGCACCACCCTTGCTCCTCAGCCCTGAATTCAGCTGTGGCCTCCTGCTGGCCTCAAGCTACTGCGGTGGGGGAGAAGGCCCCCTGGATCCCGTGGGGTCCTCATCTTCCAGGGCATCGGCTCACATTATACGGCACTCATTTTGTGTCGGGTGCTGGGTGAACGGCATTTACACACATTATTTCAGTTCATCCTGGAAGTAACCCTCTGTGGTGTACGCTATTGATTACCCCCATTGTACAGATGAGGAAACTGCAGCTGGGAGAGCTGGTCACTAGGCTAGTAAGTGACAGGGGGAACCTGAACCCGGGGAAGTAAGCTGACGCTAAAACTCGTGCTTGGGACTTCCCTGGTGGTGCAATGGATAAGACTCCACACTCCCAATGCAGGGGGCCCCGGTTCGATCCCTGGTTGGGGAACTAGATCCCACACGCATGCCGCAACTAAGGAGCTGGTGAGCCTCAACTAAGGAGCCCGCAAGCCGCAACTAAGACCCAGTGCAACCAAATAAATAAATCTTCCCAAAAAAACCACAACTCATGCTCTTCAGGGAACTATATTTAATATCCTGTGATAAACCATAATGGAAAAGAATATAAAAAAGAATGTATATATGTGTGTAACTGAATCATGTTGCTGCGCAGCAGAAATTGACACAACATTGGAAATCATCTATACTTCAATAAAATAAATAAACAAAACTCGCTCTCACCTTTCTCCTGGTGTTTGAAAATATAAATGAATTGTGTCAGTTTCCTATTTGGTGCCTCAGTTTCCCTACCTGTACAAAGAGGGTACAGCATGAGGGTGCAGACCAAAAGGCAAAGGCCTCTCCTTGTGCCCAGCCCTGTGGTTTGAGGATTCTAGAATGGCCCTCCTTGAGGCAAATATTTTGTCTGTAATTGCCATCCACAGTGAAGTGTTTCCAAGATAGGGTGAATCTCCATGATCCCAGCCAGGTGGGGCCATGGTGCCGAAGTTTCTGTAGTCCTTCAGCCTTGAGGCAGGAAGTCACCTCTTATACTCTTCCGAGCTCTCCCTGTATTGGTTTCCTCCTGGAATTCTGGCCTGACCAGTTGAGAACAAATAAAGCCAAGTAACCTCTGAGTCCAGGATGGGCAGACACTGCTGGCAGAAAATGATTTCCAAAACCAGTTTCAGACCTCAACCTTGAGGCTTAGAATCCTCAGAGCCTGGCCCTACCTGACACTCTCATTGTGTCCAGGTGAAGAGTGGCTTGGGGTCAGTATTCCTGCAGAGAGAAGAAAATAAAATGGGAAACTGGTATCTAGGGTCTGAAAGTGAACAAGACTGAAGATGAGGAAAGGGTACCTAAAACGGAGGGGATCACAGTCCTTTCAGTTTTGTTCCTCATCATCTGCCATCATCTGCTCCTTCTCTGCTCCCACCTTTTCTTCACTTTTGCCCTTGTAATTTTGTATTCAGTTCAAGATGCCTTTTTTGAATGCAGAGATTAGGAAGCAGAGGAAGATGCAGTCTACCAGCCACTGTCCCTGGAGGATTGATTTATTCACTCATCCATTCATCTATCCATCCATCTGTCCATCCATCCATCCATCCATTTGTCCATCTATCCATCCACTTGTCCGTCCGTCCGTCCATCCATCCATCCATCCATCTACCCATGCATCTATCCATCGTTCTGTCCTCCAGCCAGCTGAGAGACATTGAGCTGGCCAGCCCCAGTGAAACCGCTAGGGAGCAGAAGCTCAAGTGATCTTTGCTGATGGACCAAAATTAAGAGTAATAGGGACCCACATAGCACAGGTGAGCTTGCGCCATGTGCTGTATATGCACTATCACCTTTAATCCTCATAGCTCCCCACTTTAGAGGTGAGTAAGATAAGACTCACCATTGTTAGGCCCACAGTCATTCAGCTTGCAAGGGTCAGGGGCAGAATTTGGATGGAAGTCTTGGCTGCCCAATCCCCACAGGGAAGCACTGCCAGTGTCTCTTGTGTCAGAGGAGAGTTGAAACCAAAGATTCCTCCCTTCCTGAGTCCTGGGCTGGGGTAGGGTCAGCCTCAGTTCCACCGCTCCGCTGTGCCACCCCCAGGTACCAGTGACTTGGCAGCGCTGAAAACCCTCAGGAGGTCTCTGGAGTCTATGAAGAGGGGAGGGCGGGGCTCGTGGTCCCTGTCCCGGGTCTCAGACACCCCCGTAGCCATCTGGAGGGTCTCTGATCGCAGTGACTTGCTTCCACCACTCTTTCTGCACCTCCACCCCAGAATCCTCTTTATCCTAAGAATCCATCTCAGCAGACATTGTGTCCAAAGCCCAACTGCCAAGGATCCAGACAGGAGACAAAGACCTGGACAACACCTGGCACCGAGGCAGTCGGGCTGGGTCGGTCCTTGGTATTTCAACAACAGCAACAGCAAAGGCAAACCCACATCTCCTTCTGAGAAGGATGAAAATCCCCCCATCCACCCTGGCCCTACCCCTCTAGGACCTTCCAGGGGAGGAAGCTGAGCTATCACCTGGCCCCACCCACAGGGATTTTGTAGAACTTTACATTTCTGAAATTCGTATTACCAACCTTTTTTTAGATACAAAAATATACTGTGCTCTTGAATGTTCTCAGGATGTGACCTACAGTAGTCCAGGAGCCCAGGCCTCTGGATGAGGCTTAAAGGACATCCTGTGGAGTCCCCCATGTGAGGAGAAGCCAGGAGACCCGGGGGCTGAACAGGATGGAAAGACAGGCACAGGGTGTGACAGGTGTGACATGGATATTCATGGAGAGAGTGTCACGGAGACAGAGACTAGACAGACAAAAACAAGCACAAGCGGGAGAGGCACATGGCAGAGGTACAGAGACAGAAAGAGAGAAAGAAGACAGAGCAGAGAGACAGGAACAGAGGACAAGAGGGACAGAGAACAAGTCCTCATGACAGGCTTACACCTGGCTTCAGAGAGAGGGAGTAGAGAGACAGGATGGGGGCACATACCCGGGCAGGGGGCTAGCCTCTCGCGTGGTGCCCTTGCCAAGCAGGGCTCCTGGCTTTAGGGGCGGGGGCGGTGAGGGCTCTTCTGGCCTGACGTCCCTTCTGGCCAAGTCCTGGTGACCCCCTCAGCCCTTGCAGAGCTCGCTGGGCTCCTGAGTCCCCACCCGCTCACCCTGGCAGCCAGCGGGGACTCTGGATCTGGATCTGAAGGTGGGGCAGGAGGGAGAAAGGCACCTGGGACAGGTATGCAGGTGGCGCAACAATTCTCTCTGCAGCTACCCAAACCCCAAACAGTTTCCTTCCACCTTGTTTCTGGGGTTACTTCAACCTGTTATTCAGGTTACGAAATTGTGAGGCAAAGGTACAGGAAGAAACATCCTGCTGCCCTGCCTGCTGGCTTGACTGGCCTGGGCACAGATTCAGTGGCCCCAGGGCAGAACTGGGTCACAAGGTAGGTGGAGGGGGGAGGGGGGAGGGGGGGAAGCCGGAGATGGAGGTGGGGAGGTAGGAAGTGGAAGGCACGAATGGCTGAAAACTGCCCCAGTCCGACCTGACCAGAGAGCCCATGGTCCACCCTCACTGTCCATGAGCCTCTCCATTTTTCCTGTCCTTCCCCCGGACCACTTGTGATTTCTGGAGTCAGGTCTGGCCCTGTGCGTTAGCCCCAGGCACGCTTTGCTTTTCCACAGCAGGCCTTGTCTTCTGCAGGCCTGGTACAGCGCTGAGCACTGAGGAGGTGCTTGGTAGATATTTGAGGACTGAATGAATTGGATTCCTGCGTAGTCCTGGAAGCTTAGGAAGATGAAACCACCAGGTAGAGAAGGAAGCTGAAGTTCAGGGAGGGCAAGTGACTTGTCTAAGGTCACACACCAATTGTGGATTGTATTCCTGAAGCATTCTCTGAGCACTGGTTGGAAGGCAGGCTGTGCATGCTCTAGGAATGGAGATATGGCTGTGAGCAGGATGTGCCCTGGAGCATCCCTGGGCCTTTGGTATTGCTAGTCCCTCTGTGTGAACACTGCTCCTCTGCCTCTTTGCCTGGAACAGTCCAACTCACCCTTCAGGTCTCAGTGTAGAAATCACTTCCTCTGGGAAGTTTTCCCTGACCCTCCAAATCAAGATTAAACATGTACCTGTGGTCTTGAATGGGAGAACACCCTTCATGGTACCCCAACCTGTCAAAAGGGGCTGACCAATCAGAGCACTGTGATTCCTTGTGATTGGTTCAGGAGGGAGCAGGTGACCCAAGCAAGGCCAATCAGAGCTTTTCCTGGGATGGATCTATGGGAACTGGGGAGAGGGAGGCACTTTTCTCCTTGATGATGCTAAGCTCAATGTCTGTAATTCTGGGGCTGCTGGAGTCCCTTTCTCAGCCACTGCAACACATCACCTCCTGTTATAGGCAAGTCCCACAGGAAGATGCAAACGCAAGGGCTGAGCAGCAGGGGCAGTGCATGTGGTCTTGGTCTTAAAAGAATCAGACAGCAAAAAGCACGTGAAGTCAGGAAAGAGGATAGATTTGGGGATTAGACAGGCCTGGGTTTGTCACTTACCAGTTGTGTGTTTTGGGGCACACGCCTCTGGGCCTTGGCTTCCTCCTTTATAAAATGCGGGCGATGCAATCTACCTGTCCTGAAAAGGATGCCAGGTAGGGAGGCCGCCTGTCTAGAAAGGGTTTGCTGCTCTGACAGCATCCGCCCCGTCTCCTCCCTGTGGGCAGGCCCCATTAGCCCTGCTGCTTCCTGCTAGCATACCCCCATGGCAGGATTCCTTTACGGATGTTTGCTGTTTCTGTGGAACCAAAATCCCATCACGGCATCTTTCTGCCAGCTTGTTTGTGATATTTCTTAATGACCCTACAGGAGCTGGGATGTCAGCATCTTCCTGTTTCCTGGAGCCTGTTTCCTGTTTCCTGAGCCTTTCAGCTCAACCTTGACCTGTCCCAGAGTACAGACAGATGAAGAGAGGGTTACTTTCTCTCCAGGCTGGGAAGGTTGAGGAACGCACCCTGACGGAGAAATAAGTGGGTATTTCCCCTGATTACATGGTCTATGGTCCCTGTTGAGCTCAGGATAAAGGCCGAAGTATTTCACGTGGCTTATATGGCCTTGAATGATCTGAGGCCTGACATGAGGGTGACCTTGCCCACATCATCGGGTACTGGCCCCACTTCACACTCTGCTCTAACCCCCAGAACTGCCCTGAGTGAGGTTCTCTCCCCTTCCAGCTTTGCACACGTTGTTCTGTCTACCTGGACTGCCTTCCCTGCCTCTTCCCAGTCCTCAGGTCCTTACCCAGCAGCCCTTTGTTGTTGGAAAGACAGAATTCAGAAGCTGTTTCCTAGCCCATCATAGGGATCCAGGCTTGGCCAATAGTCATTTCAGAATCAGCCCTAAGTCGCAGGGAAAGGGGACACTGAGCTCTGTGAACATGCTCGGCACCTTGCCTGTTGTGGGCATTGGCCACAGGTCAACTTCGAGGTCTGTTTACCAGGGCATTTCTAAGGGGGGTGTGAACTTGACGCCAGATAAAGAGCTTGGAGAAATCAGGTTGCAATGAGCACCGGCTGTAGCTTTATGTCTGCGCTTTCAGTAGCTTTAGTCCTTCAGCTCTTCCAGCACCTTCTGGAAATCAGGCTTCTTCCTGTCTGCCCAGAGCCACACCTCAAATTACAGGCACACCTGGGGGATATGGTGGGTTCAGTTCCAGACCACCGCAATAAAGCGAATACTGGAATAAAGCGAGTCACACAAAATTTTTCATTCGCGTGTACATATTAAAGTTGTATTTACACCATAATGTAGTCTATTAAGTGTGTGATGGCATTGTGTCTAAATGAACAATGTATGTATCCTAATTAAAAAGTGCTCTATTGCTAAAAAATGCTAACTATCATCTGAGCCTTCAACAAGTCGAAATCTTATTGTAACAGTAACATCATAGATCACTGATCACAGAAACATATAGTAATAATGCAAATGTTTGAAGTATTGCAAGAATTACCAAAATGTGACACACGAAGTGAGTAAATGCTTTTGGAAAACTGGCACCGATAGACTTGCTTGACACAGGGTTGCCACAAACCTTCAATTTGTAAAAAATGCCATATCTGAAAAGCCCAATGAGGCAAAGCATAATAAAATGAGGCGTGCCTGTCTTGCTCAAATTCCAGATCCTTAGTTCCTACAAAGCAGGAAAAAAAACCCATTTAGTTATACCTGGCAGAAGAAATGGCAAACACATGGCATGCATGCTGCCTCTTGGTACTCCACTGCCCATGGCAGACATCAACAATCAATCATGGTCTTGGCCTCAGTACCTTTTCAATGTAGCACCTTAGGCAGAAGCAATCTATTCCCACTCCTCTCTTACAGGTTTCCTGGAGTAGAAAATAGCAGACACTCACCATTCTAGGACATACTCTTTGTGTTCTATCACAAGATCCTGAGACATCCCACCTGAGGGCTTTCTCTTGGCCCATCCCGGGGCAGGCTGGGAGAGCCAGGGAGTTCCTGCCCTCAGGAACAGTCCTCAGCTAGTACGGTTGAGAGTGTGAGGATAATACTTTAGCTTTCTCATTCCTAGACAGGTGATGGAATCATGTCCCCGCAAATTCATATGAGGTACTAACCACCCGCCGTCCCTCCGAATATGAACAGACTTGGAAATGGGTTGCAGGTGTAATTAGTTAAAGCGAGGTCAGTAGGGTGGGCCCCGATCCAATATGACTGGTGTCCTTCTAAAAAGGGGACATTTGAACACAGAGACACACACAGAGAATGTCATGGAAAGACAGGAGCTACCCTGCTGCAAGCTATGGAACTACCAGAAGCTAGAGAGAGGCTCTTTGCTCCCTGCTCAGTACCTTCCAATGAAGCCTGGCCCTGCTGACACCTCGATCTCAGGCTTCCAGCCCAGGACGGGAGACAATGCATTCCGGTGGTTTCAGCCACCCCGCCTGTGTACTTGGTTATGCAGCCCAAGCTGACTGGTACAGCGGGTCAGCCCTGAGGTGTGCTCCGCTCTGCTGCCCAGAGTCCTGCAGGGGCATCGGGCTTCATTCACCCACAGCAACCTGTTGGATACAACACCCTCTACAGTGTCCTTCCCTTCCTGTCTCACTTCCCCAGCTCCCTGCCAGGGCCATCCTGAGTCACGTCCCAGATAAGCTACTTTCTCTAGTGTCTTTTCCTTAGGGTCTACCTCTGAGGAAACTGACTCAACACAGCACAAAATTGATCTGTCCTTCCCTCCCCTTGGGTTTTCCAGTCCTGGGCCCCCTGCCTTCCCACAGCATCACGCTTCTCCCCGCTTCTGACCAAGGGCTCTCCCGAAGAAGCAGCCTGGCCTGGGGGTGGCCTGGGTGTGGGCGTGGTCTCTGCCTCTCCTCACACACCAGGCCTTCTCACCTGCGTGCGAGACCCCCTGACCGTCATGTTACCGCTGCCTGGGGGCAACGACCTGCGATCCCAAGCCCAGGAGGCGGAGCCCTCATCTAGCCACACCTCCACCTCTTCCTGGGAGATGTTTTCCTGAGCTTTTCTTCATTGCAAACCCAGGCCCCGGGATCCCCTCCCTGAACCTCTATCAGGAGAGATGGGTCAGACTGTTTTCTGGGTGATCTCATGAGCAAGACTTGTTTGAGCTTGTAATGAATAAATTATAAATAAAATAATAAAAAGAGCTACCATTTACTGAGTGCTTACCGCGCAGGGTGAGAATTTACACACCTATCTCGCTAAATGCCCACAGCAACCCGATGAGAGGGATACACTGCTGTCTCCACGTCTCAGAGGAGCAAGCTGAGGCTTGAGGAGGGTGAGTAACATGCCCACGGTCTCCCAGCTGTGGCAGCAGAGCTGGGATTCACACCGCTGACAGCAAACAGCAGAGGGTGAAAACACTGGGCACTGCGGCGGGTGGGCCCGAGGCTGACCCGCACTCCGGCGCCCCAATGAGGAAGGGCAACGGGCGTGGAGGAGTTTCGTGTGTGTAGGAATAAGACTTCACTTGTGGAAAATTCCTTCCTGGAACCTACTGGACAGCACAGGGAACTCTACTTAATGTACTGCGGTGACCCGAAAGTGAAGGAAGTGCAAAAGGGAGGGGATACATGTATATGTATGGCTGATTCATTTTGCTGTACAGTGGAAACTAACACGACATTGTAAAGCAACTATGCTCCAATAAAAATTAATTTTAAAAAAAGGTATTTTAATTTGAATTCAAAGGATGAACGTTCTCCAGGGTAGATCACATCTTGGGTCACAAATCAAGCCTCGGTAAATTTAAGAAAACTGAAACCATATCAAGCATCGTTTCTGACCATAAAGGATGATTCTACCCCAAGAAAATGTCCGGGCTTCAGGGACAATGATTACATGCCACTGAAGGCCCAAGTTTTCCTTCATTTGAGCACATGAACTTTGGGGGCAGGGATGGTAGATATGAGCATCTGTGCAGCTCTTCTGCTATGCCTTACCCGGGGCAGCACTAGTGAAGCGAGGGCAGCACTTGTTCTGGGTGAGGAGAGGGCTCAGGCTTCTCCCCGCCATCTCTCGGGGGTGGCACACCAGATCCCTGTTCCCTGCAGTGGGGCCCTCTCAGTGTGGAGGGCACGGCCTGGTAGAGATGGAGCTGGGAACTCCCCACAGCATCAGCCTGCAAGGAACCAGAGGAAACACACTGGGTGTGGCCGAAGCCTCCCTCTTCTCACAGACACGTCTGAGACACCACACTGTCATGAGCTGAGCAGGTCTGAGCCCTCCCCGAGTTATCTGGGGATTTCTATGACTTTTTTTTTTAATTCAACTCAGTGATTCATCCTACAATATTTCCTGAGAATCTCCTCTGTGCCATCACTATGCTGGTCAGGGGGCAGGGAGAGAGAAGAGAGCCGACAAGTTTCTCCCATTCTAGAAACACAAGCGTAAGGGGGAAGGGACAAGGCCATGGATGGCTATGGGGCAGTGGGACAGGTGCTCTGGTGGGGTTCCTTCAGGAGGCCTCCTGGCCTGGGGGGCTGTCAGAGAAGACTTCCTGGAGGAAGTGACATCTAGGCAGATGAACTTCTCCTGGAAGGGGTCCCAGGCAGAGGGAACAGCATGTGCAGAGGCTCAGAAGAGAAGCAGAACATGATACTCTGATGGTAGAGACCAAAGTGAAGTGGGGAAGGGAACTGAGTCATTAGGGCCTTAAGGACTGGGCTGGTGACCTTGGGCTTTGTTCTGAGGGCAATGAGGGGGGGCGCAGGAAGTGTTAAACAGGGCCAGGGATGAAACCTCAGCTCAGCTTGGAGGAGGTAGCACTTCCTCCTAGAAGCTGTCCCTGAGCCCAGGCTCCTGGCCCTTCCCTGGCACCCTGAGAAGCATTCCATAATGGCACCTTGCCATGCTTCGTGGGCAGCCTTGATTTGGGGGCTGGCTACCCCTCCAGTGGCTCTCGAGTGCCACCTTCATCCATGTCCCTGGTGCTAGTGTCAAGGCACGTAGTAGGTGTGCAGTAAGTGTTGTTAGAAGGAAGTGAGTGCTTTCCGTTTGGGAAAGAAAATAAAGGAGGGAACAAACACACAGGGGTTGCTCCCTCCAGCTAAATGGCATCTTCTTTATGACCCCGCACTCAACATTTTTCTCTAAAGTTGAACTCTGTCCGGAGGAGTTAGACTTCAGAATCTAATAAGCATTTTCTGGGAATTCCACCTCGCCGTTTTGCTCGTCATCACTGGAAATTCTGTGGACTAAATGTCATCACCAAACGCGGGGGTTGGGGAGTGGGGAAACTATTCTTCCGTGGGCTTCTTTCTGTTCCACCCATGCATGGGCAGGGGTTCAAAGAGAGGGACGAATTCTGCATGTGTGGGTATGGGAGACGGAAATGCTACAGAGGGAGTGACAGGGTCCCGAGGAGACAGACTCAGGAAGAAAGAGAGAAGACTGAGGTATACACCCGGTGGTGGGAATGTAAATTGGTACAGCCACTATGGAGAACAGTATGGAGGTTCCTCACAAAACTAAAAATAGAGCTACCCTATGACCCAGCAATCCCACTCCTGGGCATGTATACGGAGAAAGCCATAATCCAAAAGGATCCATGCACCCCAGTGTTCACTGCGGCACTATTTACAATAGCCAAGCCATGGCAGCAACCTAACGGTCCATCGACAGAGGAATGGGTAAAGAACATAAGGTACATATACACAATGGAACACTACTCAGCCATAAAAAGAGTGAAATACTGCCATGTGCAGCAACATGGATGGACCTAGAGATTATCATAGTAAGTGAAGTGAAGTAAGTCAGACAGAGACAAATATCATATGATATTACTCATATGTGAATCTAATTTTAAAAATGATACAAATGAACTTATTTACAAAACAGAAACAGGTACCAAAAACAAACAAATGGGAAATGTGGTGGGGAGGGATAAATCAGGAGCTTGGGATGAACATACACACACTACTATATATAAGCTAGATAACCAACAAGTACCTACTGTATAGCACAGGGAAATCTACTCAATATTCCGGGATAACCTATATGGAAAGAATCTAAAAAAGAATGAATATATGCATATATATAACTGAATCTCTTTGCGGTACATCTGAAACTAACACAACATTGTAAATCAACTACACTCCAATAAAGCTAAAATTTAAAAAAGTTTTTGCTAAAAAAAAAAAAGATTGAGGGCTTCCCTGGTGGTGCAGTGGTTGAGAGTCCGCCTGCCGATGCAGGGGACACGGGTTCGTGCCGCAGTCCAGGAAGATCCCACATGCCGCGGAGCGGCTGGGCCCATGAGCCATGGCCGCTGAGCCTGCGCGTCCGTAGCCTGTGCTCTGCAACGGAAGAGGCCACAACAGTGAGAGGCCCGCGTACCGCAAAAAAAAAAAAAAAAGGTTGAGGAAGAGAGACATGAAGAGAACGAAAAAGAAGTGGAGACGCTAAGAGGCTGAAAGTGACAGACATCTGGACAGACATATGAGCACCCACGTGGGTTCACTCGCACAAGCACGCACAGCACACACCTGTGAGTCAGGGCATTGCTGAGTCTCGCCTGGAACCAGCGGATGCATGTAACCCCACCCAGACCCGGGTGTCCCTACCCTGAGTTTCCAGTCACTCCCCAAGGCTGTCCTGAATGCTTACAGTTGCGGCCCAGGCCTGTGTGAGGTCATCACAGTAACCAGAGGCTGCATTTCATTCTCTAAATGGTCCTTCCTGTAAACTCTCAGTATTTATAGGCAATTATTCATCATGTCACCAATACAGAGGAAGACAAACAGCGAATAAATCCATAAACAATAAGGCTGGCTGCTGGAACAATTTATTCTACTGATGTTTATTTCAGAGGGAAATAAACCCATTACTTCCATTATGTCCTGTTTTAATTTTATTTATTGGTTTTAATGGTCTTCTCCAGCTCTGGCCAATGGTAGAATTACCGGACCATGCAGGGCCGTGCAGCCAGAGATGCAAGGATATGTGAGGAGATGCAGGGCTCTGAGGGCTTTTACTCCCAACTTCCTGGGGTGTGTCCCAGAATAAGGCAATAAATACACATGCCAGGTGCTGCTCTGAGACTCTTCCTTGTTTTAACTAATTTAATCCCACAGCAGCTCAATGAGGAATTTGAGGAAACTGAGGCCCAGAGAGGTCAGGTCTCACAGACGGTAAGAGTCAGAGGAAGAAAAGATCTCAGAGGCAAAGCAGACAGAGATGAATCTAGGAATCCACACTCTTAACCGATTGCCCTCCTCTCGACCAGGGCTTGGCAGTTTTCTGTGAAGGATCAGAAAGGAAATATTTGGGGCTTTGTGGTGCCCTACGTTCTCAGTCATGACTGTACAACTCTGCTGTCACAGCGGGAAAGGATGTAGACAGTAATGTAAGTGAATGAGTGAATGAATGTGGCTATGTTCTAATAAAACTTTATAAAAACAGATGCGGGACTGGATTTGGCCGTGGGTAATGACTTGCCGACCCCAGCCCTGGGTGTAGCCCCTCTTAGCCCTGGCTCTCCCTCTGCTGAGCCTCAGCTGGCCTGGGTTTGGCTTAGCCACGGTGGTGGACAGAAAACGCTTCCGTGGGATAAGAAGGAGTTTCTAGGATTCCATCTCTCCTCCTTCGTTGCCAACCACTGTCCTCCTCAGGGCCCTGCTCGCTTTGGAGGGAGGCCTCAGCTGCCTGTCCTCCGTCCTCATGTGGGTTTTTAGAGGGACTTTCCTTCCTGTTCACCTGACTGGATTATCACCTGAAGGTGCCTTGCTCAGTGCCTGGCACCCAGGAGGCCTCCAGTAAACAGCTGTTCTAGCTGTATTTGCACCTTCAGGTTTGCAGAGGCCTCATCTGACCTGGGCATTGCTGTCTGGATAACATGGCGCTTAAGAGTAGGGGCTTTGGAGCCCCGTCTTGGTTCTGCCATGGGACTATGGACACAATCCTCTTTCAGCCTCAATTTCCTTGTCTGTCCATGGCCATCACACTCCCTAATATAGTGAAGATTAAATGCACGAATGCATCCAGGGCTTCCCTGGTGGCGCAGTGGTTGAGAGTCCACCTGCCAATGCAGGGAACACGGGTTTGTGTCCCAGTCCGGGAGGATCCCACATGCCGCGGAGCGGCTGGGCCCGTGAGCCATGGCCACTGAGCCTGCGCGTCTGGAAGCTGTGCTCCGCAACGGGAGAGGCCACAACAGTGAGAGGCCCGCGTACCGCAAAAAAAAAAAAAAAAAAAAAAAAAAGAATGCATCCAAAGCATATGGTACGGAGGAGTTTGTTAATCAAGCAGGCCCCTTGCCCTCTTCCTTGCCCCCTGTGCCCTCCACTCTCCCTCCCAAGGAGGCAGAAATCCCTCCAGGATGAGAGAAAAGTGTGCTCTGAATGGGGAATGGGTTCTTCCATGACCTGACAGAAGAGTGGGAGAAAGGAGGAGGTCGTCTGGCTAAACACACAGACTCTTCCCCTCCCCTCCAGCGTCCAAGGGGACAGGGTGACCTCAGGCTGCTGGGCATCTTTGGGTACAATAGCCTGCGGGGCTAGTTTCTGCCACCAGAGTTTTTCTTTGCTGAGACCCTGGCTGTGCATCACCAGAGAGGACTATCTGAATCAGGGTGGGGCTGCCTGGAGTTTCTGGGTTCGTCCTCTGAGCCATGGCAGGCCTGCTGTTGGCCTGTCTGAACCACTTCAGCAGGTCAAGCATGAGAAAATTCACCTCAGACTCAGTGGGTAATTCTATTCCTTTTCATCAGAGGCAGCTGGGTCTTGGCCTTTTTGATTAGCCAAGATGGTGGCCTCCACAATGACATCAATGGGATGTTGAGAAGGCACGGGGAGATAAGCCTTACATAGGGAGGTGTGGGATCCAGAGATATCTGAAGGAGAAAGAATCTTAATATCAAATTAATGATTGTAATAAGTATTATTATTCCTCTGCCAGTTTTGAGTCCTTTTATTTAATCTTCCCAACAATCTTGTGAATCAGATTCTTTTTTCTGATTGACATATAGTTGGCTTACCATGTTGTGTTAGTTTCAGGTGTACAGCAAAGTGATTCAG